TTTCCTGGTGGGTTGAGTGGATTCCAGCTGCTCTTTAGGCCGGGATCGGTAAAAATCGCGTGCAAAATATAATCTGGTAAAAAACCCCAAAAAAATCCCCAAAACCCCCAAACAAACTAAAAAAACCTCAAACAGAAACCCTTTATTGCCCAATAATGCAATAAAACCATAGGCATTAAGGCAGATTGCTGAAGCTGCTGGTGGGACAGCCACGGTTCTGTCCTGCAAACCCCCCGTTGGTGTCTGCGCCCCGACCCAGCGATCATCTCTCGTTTGCCCCCGTTCTCCAAAACTTGTTAAGGCTTTTGTGTTGCTTAGTTTTTTCCCCCCCACTTAATTTTCTGCCCCTAAACAGCCCTGTCGCGTGGGCTGCTGCGGGCAGTCGCACCGAGGAAGGAGCCTGGAGCATGGCAAGCCCAGTGAAAGGTGCTGCAGCCCTCCTAACTGCCTGCCTTAAACTGGTAATGCTTCTTTCAATAGGATCCTGTTGTTTATCTGTTTATGCTTTAGTGTTTCCCAGTCACAAGAAAATTACCTCTGCTGTGGGAACGCAAAGTACGCATGCACGAGAGTTTAAAATTTATTCAGACAAACGTGTGCCTTTAAACTGTAATTAAGGCAATGGCTTTCAGCGTCGATCAGTTTATCCCACTCTCACCAGCACGAGTTTCTTGCTCCAGGTGGTGCGAGACTGCTTTGCAATTGATGTTAGGTACTGACTCCCCAGCACCTTGGCAGCAGGATGAGAGACAGATGTGCCATCCCCCAGACTGGAACAACACGACTCCTCCGCAGATGGACTTTACCAGTTTGCTGTCTTCCCCTTGCTCCTTTCCAGTACATCCCATTAGGAACCGCGCCTCTGTTTTGTTAGGCACGCTGTGTCCTTATGCGCTGAGGAAGCAGCGCTCACCTAGGCAGCCACGTCAGAGCAGCAGATCTTGTCCATCTGCTGCACAGGTACAATTGCCAGCACCAGTGCTGTTCCACGCTGTGGTGGCTGATGTTCATAGAATCACAGAACGGTTAGGGTTGGAAGGGACCTCAAAGATCATCCAGTTCCAACCCCCCTGCCATGGGCAGGGACACCTTCCACTACACCAGGTTGCTCAAAGCCTCATCCACCTTGCCCTTGAACCCCTTCCAGGGATGGGGCAGCCACAGCTTCTCTGGGCAACCTGTTCCAGTGCCTCACCACCCTCACAGTGAAAAATTTCTTCCTTGTATCTAATCTAAATCTCCCTCTTTCAGTTTAAAGCCATTACCCGTTGTCCTGTCACTACACAAAGCCCCTCTCCAGCTTTCATGTAGCCCCTGTAGGCATTGGGAGGCTGCAATAAGATCACCCTGGAGCCTTCTCTTCTCCAGGCTGAACAGCCCCAACTCTCTCAGCCTGTCTTCATAGCAGAGGTGCTCCAGCCCTCAGATCATCTCCGTGGCCTCCTCTGGACCCACTCCAGCAGCTCCATGTCCTTCTTGTGTTGGGAACCCCAGAGCTGAACGCAGTATTCCAGGTGGGGGGGTGGGTCTCAGGAGAGCAGAGGGGCAGAATCACCTGTTGATGCTATTTGAGCCTCAGCTTCATTTGGGTACTGATCTGTTTTAATTGGGTGCTAGAGTTTCAAGTAGTTTGCATTGCAGTCAACGGGATGATCTCGTTGCTTCGATGAGCTTTCAGCTGTAATTGGATGAATGTCAGCCCAATTCTGTTTTTTTTTTCTTGTTTGTTTCAGAGGTGTCCATGAAACATGGCAGTCAAATGGACTGGTGGACATTCGTCCTCTATATTGTGCTTGAACGTGAACACGGAAGGGCTGGTGGCTTCAGGCGCGGAGAGAGGCGAGCTCACGCTCTGGGATGGGGCAGGCGCTCCGGCAGGCCAGCTCCAGCTCCCAAAGTCAGACGACGTGACCTCCGTGGTGTTCTCTCCTCACTGTCCCACCAGGCTGTACACCTCCCACGGCGAAACGATCAGTTTGCTGGATGTCCGAGCCCTCAAGGAGCCTGTTGAACGCTTCCACGTGAACGAGGAGGAGATCAACTGCCTCTCCGTGAACGAGACCGACAGTTTCTTGGCTGCGGCAGATGACTCGGGGGCAATAAAGGTTATGGACTTGGAAAACAAGAAAGTCAGCCGGTCCTTGAGACACTCAAACATCTGCTCCTCGGTTGTCTTTCGACCTCAGAGGCCTCAGAGCCTTGTTTCCTGTGGACTGGACATGCAGGTGATTTGCATACGAGTAGATGGTTATTAGGGAAATGAAACAGTAACGACCCACCTGCATAGCATAGCGAGGGGCCAACAGACTTTCACCAAGAGTGAGGGTGTACAACCTGCACTCCCCAGAGAGCTCCTTCACTATTGTGAAGGAGTTGTGGTGGAGAAACTAAGCGTTGAGGCTGTTTGTGCCATTTTCTACTCAACATTTCCTCTCTCTGTTTCCGTCTTCCTCAATATTTACAATCTAAAGTGAGCAGGGTGGGGGAAATCAGAATACGGTGCAACGATCCTGCCACGTTAGCTCCCTGTCGGAGTGTGCAAAGCCAGAAGTTGTCCCCAGCAATCCATTGTGGCTGCAGATGATAGTTAGGAAAAGGCAAAACGCTTGAAGTGGGCAGGATGCTAGCAAGGATACTTTACTACAGGTAGATAAATATCTTTCCAAGTGGTACGTATCGCTGTAAGGACGAGTAATTTTTATAATATATCCTTTGTTCTGATTAACCTCTTGGAAGCATTAAACGTTTAATGCCTTTTACGCTTCTCCGTCCTCATCAAGAGGAAAGTTTGTCCTTTGCACGCCGATCGTGGAAGCGTTCCGAGAAGAACCACGGGAGGAGTTAATGGAGTCTTGAGTTAGTTGCCGAAGTTGGCCAGGCAGAACAGCTGGTTTTCAGTGATTTCTTTCCAGTGGTTGAGATCTGACCACGTTCCTGGTTTAGCCTGAGATGAGAACTATCACTTCTACAGAGGTTTCTGCGGTTCTGGCGGTGTTAGGGTGAAGTTTGCTGCGACAGCCTTGAGCAGTTTCACCCTGTGTTCTTAAAACCAAAGTGCACCTGACACCCATTAGAACAAAACATGCTGATATTTAGCAGAAGCAGTGTTTTTCCATGTTAAAGCCATGGATCATAGGAGTTCAGTCAGTATATTATACATCCAAATAGGGGCTGATTGATAGATGTCTGCCAGGTTTAGTTTGCCAAATTTTCAGAAAATGTCCAAATTCCTTTTTTTTTTTTTTCTTGCTTTGATTAAGAAGATGGATGTAGGATTTTAAATGAAGCACTGTGAGGAAGTTCTTTTTCGAGGTACCAAAGTGTCACTGAGAGGAGTGAATGCTCAGCACCTTAAACAGCTGGCTTAGTTCAGGTCCCAAAAATGCAGATGGACAAACCTAGAGCTGGAAACTTTTTATCGGAATTGTGAGCGTTTATATGCCACTTCTGTGCGAGTGAACTGAGTATTTTTGGTGACTTTTTAGTATGGTTTACTGTAGCTAGGCAAGTTAGTTTTTAGGTGAAAGTCAGTATCCCAAAATAGTAGGAGTTCATTAGTGTGGTTTTGTACAATGCCTGGAGCGTTTTTCAGCATCGAGGCTGGTTTGAAGAGACATCATTTCACACAGGGAAGCCGAAACGCTGCGCTGTGGCGTGTCTGTGGATGAGTTACGAGCTCTGCGAGCACCAAAACATGTTCTGGGCTCACGTGTCAAACCCTCAGTGAAGCCAGTAGCTGATGGGAACTGAAATTTAGGTTGCTGGTGTTTTTTCAGAAGTGCCATGGAAGCAGGGAAAAGGCCATGAGGACAGAAAGTAGTTTGCAGAGGATTTGTTAGCACTTGGTGAATTCATAAAGCTGTCGCAGTGCTGTCTGTGATGAAAACAGGAGGATTTGCCTGAAGAATTAGGACCCGGCCTCTCTGACGTACTCTGCTTTGCACAGTCGTGGAAGTTCTCCCTTTCAGCAGTAGCAAAGTGGCTTTAATGTAGCAGCAACAGCAGTCGCTAAAACAGAACAGTGACAAGAAACAACATTCTTTTGGACATCTTAGAGTGATTTGGATTCCAGAAATGCAGAGCCAGCATGACAACTCGCTTGTGGGCCACATTTAAAGACTCCTTTCTACTGGAGTTTGCTAGTGGAGGAATTTTATTAGTAACAAAGTAAAGCTTTGATTAAAAAAGCAAAGAGCACACCCGTACTGCATCACACTGACTTGTGCTTTTGTATCTGTTGGCCTTGAAAATGCTCATCAATTCCAATCCTACAAAAGTATTGAGAGAATTGGTGTTCGACTGGCACAACATACATCTGTAGCACTTGAACTGCTGCGTGAGAGATGCAGGGTTCAGCTGAAGGCACAGCTGTTGCTTCATGAGGGGCTTGAGGGTGAGGTGGCACTTCAAAAGCGAGTCTAAAAGCACAGCCTCCCCCCATCTGATCAGGAAAAGCACAAACCAGATCTACTCCCTGGGTATTTAAAAAAAATGCACGTACATCTGTTTAAAATTGTCTAAAATGCCTGAACTACTGTTTGCCTTTTGCTGCTCCATTTTTCAGACACATTCCCAGAAGCGATTATTTTAGGAGGAGTACGTAGCAGAGAAGGAGCTAAAATTCAGAGCGCCAGCGATCTCTGTTTGTGCTAGCATTTCCGTGTCCCTCCTTTTACATAATTGATGTGCAGTATACCATGATCACTGCTGCTGAGATGAACACAAAAGCATTTAGAAGAGGCTTTTCATCCGTTTCATGGTCTGAAGGTCTGAGTCGTTGACCTTCTTGTCAGTGTGGGAGGGTTTGGAAAGCGTGCCGAAAGGTTTGCCGTATTTATCAGGTGACGTTCAGCCACTTCTCACAACACATCTTGCACTCGCGTGTAGCCTATACTCTGCCAGAGCAAGAAGTGTTTTTGCATTTTTTTTACTGTTACTGAAAGATCTGATTTTCCTAAAATTATCGATTCATGCTTTTTCCCCAGGTTATGCTGTGGAACCTGCAGAAAGCTCGCCCTCTGTGGACCACAAACCTGCAGGAGTGCGGGACGGAGGAAGACAGTCCGCAGTCAGCTGGGCAGTTCTTTAACCCGCCGCTCGCACATTCCCTGTCCGTCGCATCGTGCGGCAACATCTTTAGCTGCGGAGCTCAAGACGGTAAAGTCAGAATATTCAGAGTCACCGGCGCCAAGTTTGAACGTGAGCTGGAGTTTCAAGGTCACAGCTTGGGGGTGTCACAGGTCCTCTTCATGCCAGAAGCGTACTGGTTGTTGACTGGAGGGAATGATGGGAAAGTCTTGCTCTGGGATGTCACCAGTGACGTTGGGAAGCAGCAGAAGAGTCCAGCAAAATCTCTGCAGAGAAGGAAGGCCCAAGCACCTGCTTCCACCAGGAAAGATGGGAAGCTCAACAAAGTGGCTTCGAATGAACGTGCTAGAGTTTTACCAAAGCTAACCATTGAGCATGGAGAGAAGGTGAACTGGATCTCGTGCGTGGAGATCAAAGGCTCCAAGAAAGTGTTAGTTGCTGACCAGAGTAGTTCTGTGTCTGTGTATCCATTGCCAGAACCTTAGGCACTGAGGTGTTTAGATAAATTTGGGGGAGAAACCACCTCCCAGAGCGTTTGAAATGAGCCCAGTTACATCTGCTGACGGGAACTAAACAGTGAAACCTGCTGCGTCTGTCGGTCGGGGAAGGGATTTGCTGCGTACTGGCGCCAGTCCTCGTGATGTAACTGGCCTCCAGTTACCTTTCTCAGCGGCTGTTGGTGTTCACTGCAGCTGTTTCTTTGCAGGGTTGACAGTTTGCTTCCTGAATTTAAGTGAAACGGGTTCCAGTAGGGTTAGGGGTAATGTTAGTTCATGACGAAGCTGATGTAATTAAGGTTGGAGGAAGAAATTCACGCTTACGGGGACGCTCACAATGCTAAAAGAGGATGCTGAGCAGTAACAGAGACGTTGCTGAGCTTCTTGCATTTGGAACTTGTGCGGTGCCTCACTTTGTTCTCCCCACTAAACTGGGTCATGGTCAGTGTAAACTGGCCGTAGCGGAAATGTGTTTTTCACTAGTTTGTCAGCAGCTGCATTAAGACTAGAGAAGCGTCAGCTAATGAGTAATCAAATTAAACTTAAACTATCATTGTCAGTTGGATTTTGCACACTGCAGTAAGCGACAGAGCAGGGGAAAATGTTAACACCTGTTTAATGGGTCAGCTGTCCTATGCCTTTAGTTGTTTATTCCAGGGAAAAATAACTCTTACACTTAATAAACGCTTTCTCTCTCGCTGCTCCCTCGTGCTTGTACCCGCTCTAGTATTGCCCAACTTATGTCCTGTGCAAAATTGTGCCAGGAAGGGCGTTGTGTCCCCCGTCACAGGGGGAATACGAAGGGCCGAATGCACGGCTCCTCCTCACCCAAATACTTCCGCTGCCTTCCCAAACCGTTAGAGGCACGAGCAGAACTCAGCTCGCCAGAAACATCTCTTCATTTGCAAGTTGAAGGTGGGGAGAACATAAGTGGGAATGCTGCAGCTCTCGACATGTTCAGTTCGTGCTGGATTTCCCGTGGAATGGGCAACTAATTCAAAGAAAAAAAAATAAAAAGCTTTTTTTCCTCAGGCTGTCCTTAACTTTTCACAAAAACGAATGCCTAGTACTGGCTGAAGACCTGCTTCACTGAAGACCTGCTTCTCGTTTCACTAACTGTGCTGTTGCATCTATCTGCCTCCTTATTTTCTTTTGGATGGCAACATTTCCAGTTCTTTTTTTTTTTTGCATACTCAGCTCCTGAGAATCATTAGCCCGTTATGCTGGCTGTTCATCCTTATGGAAAAGATTCCAGCCCTCTTGGTTTTAGCTCTCCTTCATCCTCAAAGCAGCTCCCTGCAGCCAAATACAACTTGTTCTCATCCAAATCTGATTTTACCATCGTGCCTTTTAAACAGGGGGGAAAAAAAAAAGGCCGAAAAAGCAATCTGCTTGTACAGCCTTTGACAGCAGGAGACTTTGGCCCAGGAGGCAAACTGGTGGGCACGGCAGCAAAACGAAGCCAAAACACGGCAAAAAAAAAGCAGAATAGCGTAGGTACCCTGTTTTGTGTCACCTCTAAATTAATTTTCTGTGTGATGGCAGAGGGTCAGCGGGTCCGGGTGCGTAGCTCAGTGTGCAATATGTTCACGAGCACGTGCCTGTGCATCTCGGACCTATATTTGGATCCACGGTCTATAAAAAGCCTCGGCACAAACACCCTCCGGCCGGAGCCAGGTCCCCTGTCCCTGCCGCTGCCGCCTGCTTCGGGAGGGAGGATCGAGCCCGCTCCGGCTTTTCTTCTCCTCACGTTCGCTGGGAAGATGGCTAAAGCCAGCATCTCTCTGCGCTCCCTCAACGAGACGTTGAACAGGTCCTGGAAGGGTTGTGCTAACGCTGTGCTGAGGGGCGTCGGGGTCCGGGCAGGGGAGAGGGGACGAGACACTATCCGTCAGCGATTTTCATGGGTGACAGGATGGAAATATATATCATGTGTGTATGGGAAGGGAGCGGTTGATGAGCAGTCTCCTGTTTCTCCTTCCCTCCTTGGGGAGGGAAGAGGGACGGAGCCGCAGGCTGCTGCATCATTTCGGGAACGCCGTGGTGGCCAGCCTGCAAGCTGCTGGTCCTGGCCGTTGGCTGCGGGATTTGCACAGTTGCTCCACCAGTGAAGGCCTATTGTTGCGTGGTGTGGGGTGGGGTGGTTATGGGTAACGGGACCCTGCTGCCATCCTGTTGTAAATGGGAGATTTGGGATGAACTCCTGAATTTAGGAAAACGCCTCAGAGCCGGGAGGGTTCGAAGATAAGGAAGTAAGTGGTTACCGTTAAAAAAAAAAACAACCCGAGAACGGACTTTTCTTATAAATTTCAAGAAAGAAAATCACTGTCCCTGAGGAAAGAGGAGATGGGTGACGCTGATTCACCTCCCATTTTCAAAGGCTGTACTGGGAAGAGGAAAGCTTGGCCGCCAGGTTCAGTGGCTCCATGTAAAACACCCCGGCCCAAGCTGCCGCCGCTGGCACCGCTCCGCGTGTTCGGCTGCAGTGCGACAGCACCGTCACCGGGAGCTGATGTCTGCGCCCAGCTGGGCGAACAACAGTCACGGCGTCAGACGTAAGCCGTGAGCATGGCCCCTCACGGAAAAGAGCTGGAAAAGGGTCTGGAATTCTCCACAGACAGCGTTCCCTCTGTTCCCAGTGGATTTTCCAGACGGATTTTCATATGCTACCTTAAAAGGTGCTGTGCAAGTGGTATCAAGCGAGAAGGCTTCAAGTTAACTTTGATGTCATACGTATGTCTGGTTCGCCTGTAGTAAAAATGATCACTGTCTACCAAAAGTATCCCAGGTGACAGAATGCAGTACCCGTGTTTGTGAAATTCCTGATTCCAGACTAATGCCAGCTGGCAGATTTGGTGAGAAACTGCTCCTCTGGTCAAGATACTGACGTTGTTCACCAACAGCTTGGACGGCTCCCGACGCACAGAGCAGTAACTGCAAAAACAGATAGTAGAGACTGGGCCAGAGAGAGAAACAGAAACACGGGAACCCCTCCTGAAAGAAAAAGTGAAAATTAAGTCTGTGGGAAACTGGTTGAAGAAGCGTGTGGCTAATTGGTACCGTGAAATGAGTGTCCAGGCAGAGCTGTGGAGAAGTGTGGGGCTCTGCGTTGGCCTGGAAAATAAAACCGATGCGACGGGTCTAAAGTAAAGAAAAATGTCATTTTCTGTGAATGCCTGAAGAGCAGAAATAGGGTTACGCCGCACACCCACGCTCTCAGAAAAGCGGGAGTGCCGGATCTCGTACTGCAAATCTTCCAAGGGCAGTTCTGCGCGCCAGCAAAAAGAACTTCAAAAGCTTTCTGGTGACGAAGGGGGATGTGGTGTGTGCATACACTGGATTAGACACCATCGACTCCATGGTGGCTTTGCTTACATTAAAGGAAAAAATGTTTAGAGGTTGTGACTGAAATGAAAGCGGGAGGTGTAATCCATCCTTCCTCGTCTGATTCAGAACTTGGATCAAGAGACAGCAGCACGGATTCTATCAGAATTTACAAAAAGCTGCAGCAGATTAGTTACAGAAATCGGTACCGCTGTGGAACCGGACAGACGTTTTTAGAACCAAAATTTGCAAATGCTGAACTTTTGCTACAAACACTTAATAACACACGAGTAATTTACAGACAGGCAAATACTCCCCTAGGAAAAAAAAGTGCTGGCGAGACAAAACGGGTTCAATTTTAAACCGTTGGACCACAGGCTGCTGAAAACCAACCCCAGGCTGACAGCAGTGTTGATGACACATACCCCTTTAGAGAGGCTAAAGGAAAAAAATTTGGAGTCTTGCCTGTAATAAAATTCAGTGTTTTCCTTTAACTGATATATCCTGAAGTTCTGCCAGTAAAACGCAAAGAAAAATCGCAAAAGTCTACGAGGAGCAGCTGATGCTCTGCTAGTAAATTGCTTGCCGAGTACGTAGTGCTGAGGTATTTGTTCGGTATTTAGGAAGGAACACTGAGTGCTTCGGCATTCTGAAGAACACACCTTGACATAAATCAGCTAAATGAGGCAAACTGAAAAAAAAAACAAAGCTATGTGCCGGAAGGATGGAATTTCGGCGTACCCTGCTCCTTGAGTAAAGAGCAGCGAACGGGTACAAAGCCTAAATACTTGCATTCCCCTCGTACTTCGTCCCTAGACACAGCAAGTTCTTTTAAAAAGTGTGATTTTTCTTAGGCAAAGGTGGTGTGGAGCAGCTCAAGCTCCAAACCTCATCTTCAGGGTCATGATTTCAAAGATTAGAAATATGCTTTTTTCCTTTTTTCTTATTGCTCCTTCACTAAGGTCTTCTTATCACATGGTTGTTCTGTAGGACAGTCTGATAAAAGGGAAAACCAGAGCAGGGCGAGGTGATGGGAGAAGAGGAACACTGCAGGTGGCGTGTTTATTATTTGCATCGTTTTTAATCTGAGGAAGAAGGAGAAGTTCTGCTCTATGTCTGACGAAAACGGTTCAAAAGATCACGATACTACAAGTAAAAGCACAAATCATCTCGAAACGCGTTAGAGAAAAAAGCTGCGCCACCAACGTTGGTGCTGATGGTTGAGACCTGCAGACACGGCTGAACCCAGGTCTTGCCTCTGTGTTTACGAGCTGTAAGGGCCAAAATGTCATGGGCTATGTCAAAAAAACGTCATTTCTAGTGGTGTAGGTTCTCTAGGGGCCTCAGAACGAGGTGTGGGGCATCTCACTGTGCAAGGTACGTGTCACCCGCTGTCGCGACAGACAGCAGCAGCAGTTGGTGCCCAGGTCCTTGTGAAACGCCCGTGTTTTCCCTCCCTCAGAGTAGAAACCAAGCTGCAAACCTTGGAGGCTCAGTTCACGGCCCTGGACTCCAGCTTGGAGAAACTGGCGCAGAAGTACGAGCTGCTGGAGAAGGAGATGAGCCAGGAAGCCCCACGGACGTTGGCGCCGGAGGAGAGGTGAGCACGAGGGAGGGACGGGTCGGTCCTCGTCCCGCACGCGTGGGTGATGCTGTTGTGACCG